GTGTTTATTCTGCTTGTGTTGTCCTGTGTTTAGGTAACGGCCTTGGGAAGGGCTGAGTAGAGGCCTGGGCCGTGAACGAGTTGGAAGAGCCACTGAAAAAGGAAACTATATCTGCAAGGAACCAAACATTTTCTCACCTACCACAGACCCAATAAAAAAACCAATAAGCGGACATTTTAGGAAATGTATAAAAAGGTAAAGCTGTCCCTGTAACAGACTGCGGAGGTCCATAGGTTTGTGACACGTCGAGGCTTCCACATTTTCTAGAGAACCGCCTCACCGATGGCAGTGACGTCAGTCTTACGCGCCGATCAGCTTCTCTTCACTGCCAGGAAGATTCCTGATACTCATTTCTGTTAGAGGCTGGTCGACCTCTGGACCAGAGTGCATCTAGAAGGATTAGACTAACCGGAAAATCCAATGACCTCATCGGGAATCGAACCCGCAACCTTCCGGCTTGTAACATTGAGTCTCAACCTGCTACGCTACCGCGTGTCTCAGGCAGTTTATCTAATGTTTAAAATTATTGTTCTGAACATAGTCAGTCGTCCGAATTAATCAAAACCAGTACGACTCGGACATTGGTTTTCTTTCCGTCTTCAGGTGAGCAGGAGAAGTTTGAAAGTCTTTCTCTGTTGTGTTCGTCGCTACAGCCAATCTTGGACCACTGATGAGGTCTACGGTCTGACAGCAGCACTAGCGAGGGGCCCACTAAGGTAGGTTTAATTTCGTGTTATGCTCACCTGAAGACGGAATTAGATGCAATTTCCGAAACGCAGTAGTTTTACTGAACTAGGACGATGAAAGGTCCACAGTGATAGATCTAAACAATTTGTAAAACTTTAAACTTATTCTACAAAAGAGTCCTATTTTCTGTGATATAACGCCATGTTTTCCGTTTAGTCAACCGGCGTTTCAGAGGAACATGTCTCCTCAGTTTACAGGTTCGAAGAATAGGCCAAGCTTAGCAGGGGTCTGCTTGATACCTGTTTCATGTTGGTTTCTTGTCTGGCTTATTCTTTGATCCTGAAGATGGAGGCGACATTTTCCTCCGAAACGTCAACTCACTTTCAACGGACTACTCGGCGTTGTATCCAGAGGATAGAAATGTTCTTTACCGCCTCTGTGAGAGCCTCAAATCTTATGTGATTTACATAATGTTGTACAGATGGCACTGGCGGTTTACCTCGCCAACTTTGTCTGCATTCAGACTCCGTATTTCGCGTTTCAAGCATTTTATTGCATCTAGTCTTTATGATATGGATTGGAGGGAGATGGCAGACGTTACTTCATGCACGCTCTGCAGTTATACAAGGACTAATAAAGTAATTCATCGCTCTTTGTACAGGCTACAATTCGTGCTTCTGTTTAGAACCCGCTAGGGGAAAGTTGTCTTTATGGCTGCAATCTCTCCGGCCAAGATGACCAACTGGGTCACTAAAGAGGATTCGTGAATATTGTCCTTCTCACTTAAGTTTCAATAAACGTGAATGTGAACTTCAAAAGAATTTCTTTTGTCTTCTCGTCTGCTGTCTAAAAATATAAAAAAATTAAATATACAAAACTATAATTTTGGCTGTGGTTCTGTATGGGTATGAAACTTCGCCTCTAACATTATGGGAGGAACATAGAATGAGGGTGTTTGAGAACAGGATGTGAGGAGAATATTCGGACCGAAGAGAGATGAAGTGACGGGAGGTTGGAGAAAACTGCATAATGAGGAGTTTCATAACTTGTACTCTTCTTCAAGTATAATTAGAATGATCAAGTCAAGAAGGATGAGATGTGCAAGGCATGTAGTACGAATGGGTAGAAGAGGAATGCAAAAAGGATATTCACTATTCACTATATTTCCACTAGGAAAACCAAGACGTAGGTGGGTGGAAAATATTAAAATGAATATTAGAGAGATAGGATTGGATCAAATGGACTAGCTTGACTTGGTTCACGATAGAGATTAGTAGAGGGTTTTTGTGAATACGGAAATGAAGCTTCGGGTCCCATAAAATGTTGGGAAATTCTTCAATAGCTGCACAATTGGCGGGTCTTCAAGGTCTTAGCTCCATGAAGTTAGTTAGTTAAGAAGTGTCTGTGTGTATGTGTGTGGATAAGATATAAAAGTTCCTGACGGCGGAATATTAATAAAGTTTCAGCCTTTATTTTACATTATCCATCACCCTGTTTTTTTGCTTAAAACAGTTCTTCTGAGATTCGATTTGGCCTCTGTTTTCACTCTCAAGTCTACTCAGTTGAGCCCAATCGATAGGGTTAATCCCAATCTCCGGACACCAGACCCAACATAAGACAGGATATATAAGCCAAACACAACGCTAGCCATCAACGAGAGTCAAGACAAACATAACAGAATTCGACACGCGTAAGGGCCTAGCACCTATTGCCATGCGCAGAATCAGAATACTATCAGAATGGAAGAAAACACTAAAGAGACAAACACTAAAAGAAGAAAATATTATCACGTGATCGAGTGACTACAGACGGGGGTTTGGATGGGTAATCGGAATTATTGAACATTTAAACAACTCGCGACACACTTTACAAATCACTATCGTAAACAGACTAATGTTCCCAGTTACGGCCTTCACTACACTGCTTGTTAACGGCTTCCAACAACGGACGTTCCGCTTTCTCTGGGTTCTCGAACTATCCAAAGCCTCAGCTACCATCTTCTCAGAGTCAAGAGTGAGGGGTACTTTACGACTGGCAGTTTACCTCCAATCAGTTTGTTTTGGAGCGAAACCCCTTGAGTCTCACGACCAGAGATTTCTTTTTGCAACAGAACACTTGCGGCCATATTCCTTATCTAACATTTTCTCTGACGAGAGGATCGGATTGTCTCTTATGAATGTGCTTAGTCGCTGGACAAGTGCATGTTTCGCACTTAAAGCTTGTTACTGAAAATTGAGTTTAGTTCATAGTTCTTTTGAAGAAGCTAATAGTCGCTCAACTGACCAAGAAACACCCATAAATTTAAAGAATAAAAATTTGCGCTTTTACATTGACCCTTATCCCGAGTTAATGAATTCAGTAGACATCCTCAAACCCTAGTTCTCTAACACCCGTTTTTCTGTGTCACCTTGTAGTATCCTACCCTTTTATTCCTGAACTTCCTATGTTAATTTTTGCGTTCAATTTTTCAGAGTGAATTTTGGCATGCATTTCTGATCTCCCACGTGGAGACTACAGGTTGAGTCCTCCTCATTATCACCTATTTCATCATCTTGACCATATATACGTACATAAGTATATACTACAATATACAGTACATCTGCTGAGTATGCAAAATTGTCAGCATCAGGCTTCTTCCTATCTCTGCTCAGAATCCTATAAGAGCATTGTTAACATACAATAATGAATTTTCAGAATTACTGAGTTTTTGGACTTTGTCCACCTTTCCATATTCTAGAAACTAGAAAACACGACGTTTCGGAAACTGGATCTGTTTCCTTCCTCAGGTGAGGGGTCGAACACCTGCGCTGTTGAGTCTCTTAGAAAGAGCTAACCTCTAGTTTCTAGAATAACGGACTATGGATAAAATCCAAAAACCTAGTAATAAAAAAACAAACTCCGTGGTTTTAGTCCGCAAGCGAACTATACCGACCGAGCGACCGTTTTTAGGCAAAGTTAGTGCCTCTGTGGTCTAGTGGTCAGAGTTCCTGGCTACAGATTAAGAGGTCCGGATTCTATTCCCGACGCTACAAGATTTTTTGAGAAGTAATGGGTGAGGAACGGAGTCCACTCATCCTTGTGAGGATAAATGAGGAGCTGTTTCAAGGAAATAGCCGCTCCAGTCTAGAAAAGCGAAATTAACGGCCGTGGGGATTCGTTTCGCTGACAACGGGACAACTTCTATCCGCTAAAGTTGGTACTAAAAACCCAGTAATTCTGATTAGTATACACCATCGTCAGAACCCTTTAGAATCTACTTCCGATAGTAAAACTGACCATCAGGTTCCGAACTGGGAAGGGGGGGGGGCGAAATTTTTTAAGTCTGGAAAATACAACGCAGTCAATATCTGAGTTAATTCCCCCACAAATGTGTATAGAAAGCTGTAATTTGTTTTATCCTAGTGACAGAAGAAAACCCGGAGAGGCTCAGAAATACGATGCTCTAGGTTTCGAAGTGGTGCAATGCCGTGTTGCAGCGTATGGAGCAGCCAGTCTCACTGCGGCTATCCACGAGCTGGGTAACCCAGGAAGCAATCACATAAGTAGGCTTCTGTGTCGCGAAATGGAGGAAAGTGTACCCCTAGCAGCTCCGTGACTTCGAGCAAAGGATCCCCGCCCCGAACGCTGTCGGCTACACGCCAGTCCGTGTGTACTTCTCACATTCTCCCTTGTGGATCTCGGACATTAAGAAGGATGCAAGTGCCCTGTGCCGTGTAGTCTCTCCAGGGACAACCGTTATTTCGGAGGAACATGTGAACACCATCTGCTGGATCGAAGAATAAGCCTGAAGCAGGGCTGAGTTTGGCACGACCTGGAACGATACGTCTACGCTTCCGCGTATCCCTTCACGGGCTGTACTTAGGCACAATATCAACTTCTACCTTTGTGTATTTTCATGATCCGTGTCAGTAAATTGTCGAAATTGTCTGGGTTAAAAAAGGTAAAGCTATCCCTGTAACAGGCCGTGGAGGCTCATAGCGGTGTGAGACGTTGAGGCTCACATATTTTCTAGACAATAGGCTCAGAGATTGCGGTGAGGTCAGATTTACGCACCGGTCGCCCTTTACCTCAAGGAAGATTCCTGGTACTCATTTCTGTTAGAGGATGAGTCGACCCCAGGGCTATAGTGCGGCTGGAAGAATTAGGCCTTGAAAAATCCCATGAACTCATCGGGAATCGAAACCGATACCTTCCGACTTGTAGCATAGTGCCTCAACTAACGATGTTACCGTGTGCTCTAGCAATATTAATAACAGTAGGAAATATGGACAGATGGAGACTGCCGTGAACTGAGAGATGTATCTGTGTTTCAGGAACCCCACGGGGGCGTGCTTGACCGGTGGAATATCTGCAGCCCAGAGGAGGAGCCCTTAGTTTTGCAGCAGTTCCTCAGGTTTGGAGAGACGCGAGCCATCACTCAACAGTTGCTGCTAGCACAACAGGATTTACACCCGCCCTCCTCCACCTCATGTTCATCCTCCAGTGATAGCCGAAACGTGGCACCAGGCTCCCATCTACACCAGCTTAGGATAGACTCAGATATCAAGAAGTTCATAGAAAGGACTAGCAGTCGCGTTGCGCCTATCAAACATCAGGACGGAGAAGAGAGGGAGAGAGAGCGAGATCGTGAGAAAGACAGAGAAAGAGAGAGAGATAAGGAAAGAGAGAGGTCGTCAAAATCTCTTCAACAACAACAATCGTTCCATAGCTTGCAACAACTCCCTCACAGAACTCACAAACAGCGGACAGTATCTCCTACCAGAAGACCTTCCCCACCAACAACGTCAGCCTCCCATCACGTATCACACCATGTCCACCCTCTCCATCTAGGCCTACATCACTCCACGTCACATCCTAGCCACGTAAGTCTCCCATCAACTAGGCCACCTCCACCGCCACCCATGTCTCCACTTCAGAAACCGGCCCCTGTCAATCTACTGAAACTACCTCCAGCAGCACTGCCTTGCACGACATCCTCGCCACCCAGCAGCATTAGCAGCAATCCCATCAGCGTGTCGCCACTCAACAGGCTGCAAAGTATGCAGCCCTTCGACTTCCGTAAGATCGGTGGCTTCCCGGGAGGAATAGGAAGTGCTCCGCGGGGTGGCAGCGGAAGTCCAGAACTTCACCATCCTCAAATGCGGAGGAGAATATCGGAAACTTCAGACACCAGTCCCCCAGGACTCATGAATCTAAGCATCACCAGCCCCACTTCCCTTTGTCTACCACCACCTCAACCTCCCCCTCCTGTATCCACTAGTTCTGCTGTTCCTGTCAGTTTCAACCACTCTGCAATGGCTGCAGCGGTTGCTTCAGCGGGACCCCTAGCTGCGGCCAGTTTAGTAGCTTCATCATTGCCTTGTCTCATTTCATCTGTCTCAACGCCAGGAAGCAAGTCTCCATCAGTCATGGGAACCGACTTCATGAGCGGAGGAGGCAGTAGCGAATTCGGATCTGATGATGATGACGACGATGAGGAAAATTCGCATAGTGCACTTAATTTAAGTAGAGACGGTGCTATTATGAAGCCTAAGCAGCGCCATGGCCACATTCGAAAAGCCACAACACCTATGAAAAGGCACTGGGGATCTGGGACAGAGTTGCCTCTCAATCTGGGAACACAGCTCATTAATCCTGCAACAGGAAAGAAGCGAGTGCAATGCAATGTGTGTCTGAAGACGTTCTGTGACAAGGGTGCACTCAAGATCCATTTCTCAGCCGTGCACCTCCGGGAGATGCACAAGTGCACTGTGGAGGGCTGCAACATGATGTTTAGCTCGCGCCGCTCTCGCAACCGACACAGTGCCAACCCCAACCCAAAACTCCATTCACCTCACCTTCGACGTAAGATTTCTCCTCACGACGGGCGAAGTGCCCAGTCTCACCCATTACTTATCCCTCCACCTTCTGGCCTGTCCCTCTCTGCAGCTGCGGCTGCAGCACTCAACCCCTTATCTTTCAGCCCATTTCCTCTCCTAACACCACCGCCTGAACTTCGACATCAAACTGCCGCTTCGGCCCTTTCAACAATGGACCCAAAACAGAGCCTCGATCTGAGCATGCACAGGTACGACGATAACCGTAATAATACGACATCGTCAGACGAGACTCCAACGGCACTTAACCTAAATAACCACCAGACAGATGACGATAATGACGATGCTTATGACGACGATGAAGAGGGCATCGTAGTGGACGGCGGTGCTGATGACGATGAACCTGAAGTAACAGAAGCGAGACAGGCAAACGGTAGCCCGGAGAAAGACGACTGTGGCACTTTGGTAAAACGGGTAAAACTATCTGAATCTGATATGGACGAAATGACTAGCAATTTGGACAGCAACGAGGACTCTCTCAGTGTTGTAGATACTCACAGCCTAAAGGAAGAGAACGGAGCTGAATGCGCTGTTTTCACTTCGAAAAGTGTTAGGAAACGAAAGAACCAAAACCCTACTCGTTGTGCTATACCATCCATAATGGGACATAACGACCTCATGTCTGACGAAGATTCGTCAAGTGACGCAGTGTATGCTGCTGCGACACCTGAGGAAAACGTCATTGATATACAACAGTGTATAACAATGGACCAGCGACAGAATCAACAGCAACAAAAACATCATGAACAGCAGCAGCAGCAGCAGCAATCACCCCAAGAACAATGCTTGGACCCTCCTGACTCGGGCGTACCTCCTGAGAGCAGTAATAGAGCCAGTGGAGATACTGAAATCGTTGACGTGCATATGGACGAAGACGAGCCTGATCCGACCCATCTGGGAGGAAACAGCCAAATGGAAGACGTGCATGATGAGGTTAATGAGAAAGAAAGAAATGAAGTTAAGATTGAAAATCGAGAACGAATAGAGGAATCAGGGAGAGACGATTCTAATGAAATTAAAACAAGTGTAACTCCTCTCATTCCAGCCGACAAGCTGAAGAAAGAGAAGTCGCAGCCGGAAAGGACTGAAGGTGAAGATGACTCCGCCGCAGCTACAACGACAGTGGGTGAAGACGAGCGGAAGGCAGCAAGGGCCCCAAGCTCGGCAGGAAGTCACAACAGCGATGAGTCTCTTGACTCGTCTCATGCTTTACGCCAGTTGGAGAGTTTGTCCCATGGTCACTTCGGCGACCTGATGCGGGGCGGAAGTCTCAACTTGGGGCAATCTGGATCGCCTCTCCTACACTCCCAGCATCAGTTCCCTTCCCTGGGCTTCATGATGGGCACCGGCCCTCCAAGTCCCGAAGGTTCTTCCATCACGTCCAACGGCCCTGATTCACCTTCAGAAGACAACAGCCAGAATATGTTCTTTCACGATTCTGGAGGTTTTATCTCAAACTTGGATGTTCCCATTGACAAGGACAACCCACGCCGCTGCACAGCTTGTGGAAAGATATTCCAGAACCATTTCGGAGTTAAGACGCATTTTCAAAATGTTCATTTGAAACTTATGCATAAGTGCACAGTGGAGGGGTGCAACGCGGCCTTTCCCTCGAAGCGGAGTCGTGATCGTCACAGTGCCAACCTCAATTTGCACCGCAAGCTTCTTTCCACGTCCTCGTCAGATAAATCTGGTGGTGGACTGTTCCTCGAGAAGTCGCCGTTTGCGTCCTTGGCAGGTAGCCCGTCTTTACACAGTGAGTTCCTCGCCCGTCTTTATGCAGAATCCCAGTCACTTCCCATAAGTTTAGATGCTTTCAAGAACCTCCCCCACTCTCATCCCCATCTTGGACCACCACCACCGCCCGGTAGTTTAGCAGAACAAATGCTTATAAATGGTGACCGAATACCACCCCCACATCCATCCCTCCTGCTTCCTCCTTTAGGCAGTCTTGCCGGCTTTCCTGGTCTGAATAATTTTACCGGCCATTTGTCTTCTCCGGCAGCTGCAATGTCTGCAACAGTGAACGGGACGAGTTCATTAAACGAACGGAAGGAACGATCGTCAGGATCGAATTCCCCAGCTTCTCCTCCGTCGCCCCCAACGGACCGCGTGGCCACGTCACCAAGTGCGGCTCCAGGCAATACGCAGGTATCACTCGTGTACAGTGTCGAGGAGGACAGTCCAGTGCCGGACCACGATGGATTTCTGTCGTGCAGTTTCTGTCGGAAATCGCTGCCGGATACTGGAGCGCTCAAAGAGCATTATGAACAGCTTCATTTAGGGGAGATGTTTAGGTGCACCGTTCCGGGCTGTGATAAAGTGTTTAGCTCCCGGAACAAACGGAACCTTCACAGTGACAACGAAACATTGCACAGTGGGGCCCAGCACTGCGCGCCAACAAGTGATAGCTGCTCGTGACATAGCGGGTCAATCCTCCACCGCTACAACTCCCTTGTGCCAGCGTGGTGGTAGGTGCAGAATGCCTTGCAGTCTCCAAAATTTTAATTTAAACAATCGTATTTACATCCGGAAGGAAGGCCAGCAACCAATACGCTACAATTGACGAATGTTTTAGATAAGATGTTACATTACCTCAAGAGGAATAATTTACTGCACATCTGAGATATCTTGAAATGTTGTCATTCTTCGCATATATATTGGCTTCAGGAAAAAATTAACATTCTGAGCTAACACACAATATACTTAAGGTTTTTATTATAAGACATCCTAAATAAGAAAGATGGGCAGTTTCCAGAGGAGTGAAACTTGCGAGCTTACTACTCTTAACAAACAAACGATAGAGAATGATTCTTTTGGGTGTACTATGAGGATTGTCAAGTCTTTGTTATATGCTATAAACAAAATATATCCCAGAGCTTCTTAGAGTCAAGTTTCAAGATTAAATTCCGTAGATGGTAGCTGGTGACGGTGTGTAGGTGAATGTAATATCTCACAATTTTGTGAAATAATTGCATATGGAACACAGGGCTGTACAAATTAACTAGCATAAAAACAGCCGAAAGAAACAAAGTCCTTTAGGCCTATATGTAACTGAATATGATGAGATCAACTGGGCATTACTCTAGTGCGAATATGGAAGTAAGAGAGCTATGATTGATTACCGTATTCATACTACTGCCTATTATCATAATTGAGCTGTAACAGAATATGAAGTGCAATAGGTCAAATGTTGTGAAGCCCAATTAAAAATATTTGCCAGCAATGCAACACTGCAGGGGAATGTCAGACTGTGTATAATGATATGAAAACTCTCGTGTTGTGTTTTCAAGGCACAGCTGCATACTGAGTTGATCATTGTTTATTTTATGAGTAACTGTGTTGGTAAACATGTTGTGTAAGCTGGGAACACTTATAAACACTATGAATATTGAAACCAATAGACAAACTGAATGTCTTTTATATGTGTTTATGTGTACAGTCATGCTATCACTTCGAAAAAAAATATTGACTAATGTTTCCATGCACCGAGGTGTGTGTGTGTGTGTGACAGGCATGTCTGTCTCATCGCTGTGTATACGACTAGTTATACTAAAGGAGATATCCGATTTTCGCCTCTAAGAGTAAATAAATTTAGTATAATATTGTAAAAATCTATACTGCTCGAGTCAAAATATTGTCATTCATATAAGATGAATATTGTACAAGTTCAAACCATGCTCACGCACGTAAATTTTACTTTAGAGGTGATATTCATTACGAAAGTATTGAACAAGTGATTTTATTTCATTATTATCCTGTTGTGTCTGTTGAGGGATTATTTGATCCACAGATGTGGGCTATGCAATGTTTTACTTAAATGTGAATATAAAAACTCGCTTTTAATTATTTTACTTTTTGCTCCCTGACTTCTAACTAAATAAGTTTTAAAGAACAGGGTTTTATTTTATTTCTCCAGTTCTCAAGGAGAAACTTGTCATAACAGATCTCTTCACACAATGACAAGACAAAGAACTAGTGCAATATAACAGTTTCTTTTAAACACAGGTTCCTTAATGTCTGAACACTTAAAATCGAGAATGGCATTTTCTTTTGTAGGATCATGAAGACAGAAAACAATTCAGCATTCAGATTTATGTATCAATAAGGTAACAATTTCAACGTCAAAATATTCTAACTTCGAATTTAATTTAATATGTACCCTCTAATTCATTAACCAAAAAGAAGTTAGTGAAGCTGCAGAATATTACATCACTGATTTGGAATCGAAATATTATTTTATTAAAATATACCGAAGGATTTATATCAAAATTGATTAATTAATGCCTTCTTCCTTCATTTCTTAGTGTTATGTTTCATTTCACAAAAAGCAACACGCATTTATTGAAAACTGTTTGAAGATACGGTCTTCTATGTTATAAAGCCGTGTACTTAGGATAAAGTCTGACGTTTCGGAAGAACATATCGCCTCCATTTCAGGGCCAAGGAGTAAGCCAAACAAGAAAACAGTAGAAACAGGCGACAAGATGATGTGTCTGATTCTACTCAGATGGAGGAATTGTGTTCCTTAGAAACACCTGTGTTTCTCCGAAATACACGGCGACAGAAACAAGAGGACTCCACTCTTCAGAGTCACTGCTGTGGAAACCTCAGCTCCATTAAGAAAATGTGCTTCTGATAATAAGGATACAGAATTTCCAATGTCCTTTCATTCGTGTATTTCATAGATGAATATGGCAGGGTTTCTTACGGAATACTTTACTCAGTGGAACAGATATATGAAAACGTATGACAAATGTACTTAAAATGACATTTCGAACACTGAAACTTAAATTAAATTAAATTAAGTAACAGGAAAGCTATGAGAAATTCCTCCAATTATAAGCAACACATTTATTGTTTCTATTCTCACTGTTCCCTTCTGATTGGATGAAAATTTAATTTCCGTATTCCTGTACTATCATTAATTCGTAAGTGTTGTAATTTTGTTAAAGGTAAGTGTGTATTTCATTGGAATGAAAATTACTTCTGCTGTGGGACGAGTCAAGAGGCAATATCGAAAAAGTATTCCTCATACAATTCAATTATTGTACCCTTACTTTGAATTTATTCATGTATGACTGAAAGAAAAACTATTGCGAGATACACTGTACATAATACAAATACAGAACATTACTATACCAGTGAAAAAAAAAGATCGTGTTTGTATAAAAGAATCGTAAAGTTAAAGATATTATAATAATAGCACGTGAGTCCCATTATAATGTTCCTTCTTCCCTTCCAAATCAAAACAGTTTCAGTACTGAAAGTCGGCTTTAGGCTTATATCACACTTATATGGCAGGTGAAGGAAGGCGAAATTCTTACGCCAATTGTACATAATTTTGACCCTTATTGTAACTGTGCCGTATGTGTGTGATGATGGGAATCTCCCCCCCCCCACCTCCCTGAATATATCTGTGGCACTTAGCTCCAACTACAAGATATTACTGTTATGATGATAATATTATTATATACTTCATGAACTGTGCTGTGACACGTAAGTTAAATGTCATCATTGTAAATAAAGAACAAAAAATCATCATCTCTGACAAAGTGTTTCTTCTTTTGTAACTCTTATTCTAAACCCATAAGATAAATTCTACATCCCACTACCAATTCGGTATTACTGCAGAAGAAATTTCAGAACATCACATGAAACATTCTTCTCTCTTGGCTAACTATCAACAGCTTTCAAAATAAGTGGTCACATAGAATTACCGGGAATCTGCATGTATAGGCCGCACATTTTTTGCCAAAAATTCAAGAGGAAAACTGGGGTGCGGCTTATATTCGAAATATTCGAAATCACACTTCATTTAAAAAATAAATATTCATAATTACTAATACAGGGTGTTCTACTCCTGAAATAATATTCCAAGAAAATTATTTTTTCTATAATTTCTGTCTGAAAATTGTGCTGCGGCCTATACACGCACGCGGCCTATACATGCGTAAATACGGTACTAGGTTTTGGACTTTTTTCGTCGTCAGGAATTCTAGGTAATAGAAGATACGACATTTCGGAAACTTGATCTGTTTCTGTCTTCAGGTGAGGAAAGAAGACACCTACTCAGTTGGGCCACCTGGAAAGAGTTAATCTCAATCACTGAACAACTCCTGTCAGATTTAGCCAGCCATTTCAACATATAGGTCTAGGCTAGTTCAGTTGGAAATAACAAGAAACCATAAAATAGAAATTGTGATAGAGCAAGCACATGCGTGAAACTAGGATAGAAAAGGATGTAGAAATTTGTGTTAGAAACCTAGCTGACAAAAACCAAGTGCATTAGCACAGATCCAGTTTCCGAAACGTCGTATCTTCTGTTACCTAGAATTCCGGACGATGGAAAAGTCCAGAAACCCAGTAATTCTGTGTGCCATCCATCACTGTCAAAACCCTTTAGAAGATATCACATACTTTGCAGATAAAAGCAGAGACGTTACTGTTACTCGAGCAAAGGGTTCTATTGATTACCTCACAACATGTTTCGGCGACACCAGAGAGAAAACACAAAACTATTGGAACACAATAGAAATAACCAGAATATCTAACGACCGCAAGGCCAATATATAAATATTCAAGAACCACATTTTGTAGAGATATTCTCCTTGCATTATTTCAGTTTAATGTTTTAATTGTAATAAGTGGATCCAATCTTAATTTAGAATATGATGTATATATAGTATTTAGTAGGATCCGAACTAATTTTAATTAAAAAATATTACACTAACATTCCAAGAATAGTTTATAAGTATATGTTCCATCAGCATTTTTAAATTCCTCAATAATCACGTGATGGTCGATCTCGACTGAAACATGTTGTAAGTTCATTAACAAGAACTGTTGTTGTCTCGGTAACCCCTCATTTTTTTGAAAGTAAGTATCAGAACAGGACGTGGAAGGATAACATTAAGATGGATATTAGAACGATAGGATGGGTGGTACGGACTGGATTAATCTGGCTCAGGATAGGAATGAGTGGAGGGCTATTATGAACATGATAATGAACCTTCGGGCTCTATAAAATGTTGGGAAGTTTTTCAGTAGCTGCGCAACTTGAGGTTTCTTAAGAAGGGCTCATCTTCATGGAGAGAGTTAGCATCAAGCCAGGATACAAATCTACAACATAGTGATCAGATATTCTGTAGTGTCAGATATGCAAAAACAAAAAGGGATTATGATGAGAGAAGACATTTATTGACTTGAAAAGATCTGTGACTCAGAACAGAAATATTGTGAAGCATTGTCGCTAACGTTATTTTGTCCAGTAAATCATTTTGGCTCATTAAAAAACATTTAAATGGAACCTACAACAAAATCTATACAGATGCATTTGCTGTTCAGAATGGTCTGAAACATGGAAAATTGTAATTAAAGCCCCAAATAAAGAAATTTTATGAGATTCATAATCTTATAAAGAATTGGAGCCTATAGTTTCCTGCTGACCAATTGGAAACTCAGTGTGGGCATTTAAATCCCTAACCGCTGAATATTATAATTTGTAAAATATGTGTAATAATTTTTAAAATTAATATTACTCTTCTCCAGCATGTAACACCGTGTAGTCTGGTAGTACTTTTTAACTTTTCGAAGGAACGTACTATGTTTGTCCTAAACTTAGAAGTTCATTCATATCCTGAAGTTGGAAACAGTAGATATGTCCGAAAATTCTGTAATCATCTACCAAAAAATTTTCGTTGTCACATCTCAGAATACCGCAATGTTAACATCCATCGCTGTGAGAATTTCATATTCTTTAAAATTTTCTTTCATAGCTGAAATCTGTTCTACGTGCGCATTTGCAAAATAAAGGAAATTAAGACATGCTGATTCGGTGTCTTCTATACAATTCAGATCTATCAGCCTTAAATGACATTCATATTGGACCTAATATATGTACGTCTCGGTTTAGGTGATAACCTTAGAATGACGTACATGGATATGCCGTCATTGCAGAGTTACTTGAGGCTATTTTCTGCATACGCTAGCAACTAATATACCGCCTTTGTGGTCTAGTGCTCAGAGTTCCCAGAGGTCCGTTTTCGATTCCCGGAGCTACCAGATTTTCTGAGAAGTAGTGTGTCTGGAACGAGGTCCACTCAGCCTCGTGGGGATAATTGAGGAGTTACTTCAAGGAAATAGCTGCTCCGGTCTAGAAAACCGAAATTAACGGCCGTGGGGATCCATTGCGTCGATCACGCTACACCCTCTATCCGCTAAAGTTAGCACTAACTTCGCCGAAAAGCTTCGGTGGCTCGGTCGGTATAGTTCGCTTCCGGACTAAAACAACAGAGTTTGTTTTGTTTGATAGCAACCAAGATTCCCACACCGCAATTCTCGGTAAATGCCGAATTTCTCTTCCGGAAGTTGCCGCTACTCAAGACATGATAACCTCAAATATTATAAACGTCTTGGCGAAAGGATGAATCATTGAAATGTATAAATAGACGTGAAAATGAGTGATGTATTCTTGAGTTACTTAACGCGGCTGAACCAACTGCAAAATATATTTGGTGCTGAATGATTTGAGGGAGAAATTATGGATAGTGGGGGTCGGAAAACAAGCCACCTAGGCATTCTGCCTAATTGTACTGACCGCTGCGGTGCTACCGATGAGGTAACCTACTTTTCAAAAGTTAATACGGACTTCTGGTATAGCATTGCATTTCTGCATATTTAATTCCATAAATAGAAAATTATTTTAGTCGTTTTTATAC